CTGTCTAGGGGGGAGCAGTCCCAGCTGGGCCAGTCTGGGACAAGTCCTGGTGCTGGCAGGCCAGTAGAGGCCCCAAGGTGCCCTGCTCCTCTGTTGGGCCGCTTCCATGCAGACCGACTATGGGACAAGCCCGTCCTCACTGCAGACATCATTTCAGAGCCACCTTGCCCCAGACAGGCCTCTAAGAAGCTGCCCTCCTTGGGATAGCACCTCTGAGCCCTGCCCCCTGGTTTGGAAGCAAAGTTAAACTTTCAGAACCCAGGCAGGTTTCCTTGACTTTGTTTAGGAAGAGAAGTCACTGTGATGTGGAAGATTTAAAAAGGTTAGGAGTTTAGAAAGAAATGGAGCAGGAACAGATTGTCAAGAGAAATAATGTCAACCTTCCATCCAACAGCCTGATTCACTTAGGGCCTGCACAGTATGGTCAGGGCACAAGCACCCAGAGCTTATGGTTCAACAACCAATATGGTCACTGCACCTGTCATCCTTATGTGGAGCCAAGGGAGGGGTGGCCATGGGTACTCGGAGGGAGTGCCCACCCCACCTCCATAGTCACTGGGCACCTGGCTGCTGGCTCCCTCAGGGCTCCTCCCTGGAGGGTAAGTGAATGCAGGGGTTGCAGGTGAAGGTATGTCAGCTGTGTGGCCAGGGACAGGCCTATGGGAGGAGCCAGTGCGGCTGGGGGCACAGGGAAGGGGATGGGGGATAGGCTTGCTAGGTTCTGGGCCCCACTCCCACCAACCAGCATAGGCTCCCAGTCTCAGCCCTGGCCACCTGGGCGTGTGGCCTCACACAGAAGGACCCCAGATTGCATGGAAGGGCACAGACTGGAGCCTGGACCCTCTCAGCCAGGCTGGCAGGCTCAGCCGAGGTGAGGGCATTGGGGCAGTGGTGGAGTCCAGGGAGGGTCCTCACTGACCAAGTGTGTCCATCGTGGGTGTCCACAGTGTTGGGAGAAAAGCAAAAGCCATAAAAACCTACAAAAGCTCAAGAACTGGCTAACCGTGGATGAAATCAGACCCTGCTCCATCAGTCAGGAAATGCAAATGGAGGCAAAGCCATGGGGTTGGGGGTGGGGAGGTGGGGGGTTCAGAAGTGCCAGTTGCCAGAGACGGGGTACTTCATGGAACTGAAGAAACCTTTCAGGAATCTTTGGGGGTGGGGGTGGGAGGCAAGCTCTGAAGGCAAAAGAACAGTCTCAAGGACAGAGTGGAGCTGAGGGGCTTCAAGGCCGCAGCCCTCCCCGCCCCCGCACAGGACGCTCTTGGCCACCTGCTGTCCTCAGTGCTGGCCATACAGCCCTTGGGCATGTGCTGCCCACAAGGTGGACATGAGCAGGGGGTTGGGGCAGTCTGCTGCAGGGGCTGAATGGTGGCCTCAAAAGGAACGTACCTAGGACTTTGGCATGTGATGTATTAGGAATTAAGGTCTTTGCAGGTGAGATTAAGGTAAGAATCTCGAGATGAGATCATCCTGGATTAGGGTGGCACCAAATCCAATGTCTGTGTCCTCTAAGGAGAGGACACAGACATGGCAGGAGCCACGTCGTAAAGGAGAGAGAGACGAGTGACCTGGCCACAGCCAAGGATGCCAGGGGTCACCAGAGGCTAGAAGAGGCCAGAAGGAGCCTCTTGAACCTTAAGAGCATAAATTCCCAAGTTTCAGTGGCTGGTGTGTGGCACTTGAGTGCACTGGGGCACGAGGTGGCCATTAACCGGATCATGGGTGGAACATGTCCTCAGCCAGGATCCAAAGCAGAAGCCGTAAGGGTTCCAAGGGGCCTTCTGAGGGCAGGGCTGGGTGCAGGGCAGCCCGTGTCAGGAAGGGTGTGTGAGCATGCCCTGCACATGTGTATGAGAGTGCACTGTGGTGTGGGCATATGCGTGCACACATGCGATGCATGTACGCTCATGCACACATGAGCACATGTTCATGTTCATTGGAATCCTTGCCTCCACCGGTGGCCACAGGTGCCTCATGACCCCCAATTAGCAAGGAGAAAACAGAGGGTGGGGGGCTGGCTGCGGGAATCTAGCCCACAGAGGATCCCCTTCTCCCAGCCCCCATGGATTCCCCTCAGGCCAGGGTTCTGCCCTCCCACAGGAGCTGCCTGTCTGCCCCATCCCCATTCCGCAGCCCCTGGCTGAGGCCAGGCTGGGAGCACAACCCAAGGAGGCCCTGGCCAGACAGACAGACATCCCTTAAGGAGGCTGCGGCCATAAGCAGCCACCTGGCCAGGCCACTAGGGCAGATGGCAGCCAGTCCAGGCCCAGCAGGCTGCCTAATGAGCCCCACACAATTTTTCAACCCATATTTTTCCAATAAAAAAGCAGTTACACACCAACCACAGCCTTCAGGAGGGCCATCTGGCCGCCTAGCTCCAGAGCATTCTGGCTCCCTCCCCACCAGCAGCTGAGCGCCCAGAGCAGAGGGAGGGCTGGGGCGAGACATGGCAGCGGTTGGGTAGGCAGGGAGCACTTCACTGGGGAGGGGTCTCTGGTCTATCAGGAGAGGTATGGGTGGGCATTTGCAGGAAGGACAGCAGAAAGGTTTTCCTGTCTGCACACCAGCCTCTGGGGCTGCTGGCTGGAGAGAGGTGTTGCTGGGTCCATCTGTCTGTGTGCCTTGGGGATGGAATGTCACAAGTGTGCACCTGGAGCCAGTAGCACAGCCCAGGTTGGTGGACTGGCAGGAGCCCAGGGGAGCAGGAAGGGGCAGCACCCACCAGAGGTGCAGGTGTCTGACCTCCAACCCCAGCAGGTTTGGGAGGAGCAAACTTGCCAGGACCATGGGAGCCCCAGGGTACAGCCCACCTGCCATGCTCCCCTGGGCACCTCACCTTTCCACCCAAACTCCTGTTTGGCTGCCTCTCCTCACTGGACCTGTCCTGGGGCAGCCCAGGGTCTTCTGATTGGCTGTCTCTGGTCTGCTGTGTGCCAAGGAATGTGACAAGTCAGGCTTGCTCCAACTGTGTGTGGAGCACGAGCTCCCAAGGGCCAGGGGAGCCTGAAAGGCACCCCTGTGGATATCTGTTCCAAAAGCCTTGCCAGCCAGGCTCCAGATGAGGCATGGCTGCAGCTGAGGCTGGCCCTGTGCTGAGTCCTTGCTATCTCTGAGTCAGGAAGTTTTGCTGCCTTAGAAATACTGAGGAGAAGCTCTGTCCCCTCCCACCCTGCTCTCCCCTCAATCTTCAGGCAGGCTGGGCTGGGCAGGCCCTCGGGTACTGCTTGGGACCGGTTTGCAGGCTGCAGGTGGGTGTGAGTGCAGAAGAGGCTGCCTGGTGACCTCTCATGCTCACGGGCATAGTCAGAGCTGCCACATGGGGCTGGGCCAAGGCGGCTGTGCCCCACCCTGATTCCACCCTCACCCCCACCCCCCACGCCCACCCTGCCTCCATCTCCAGTGGTCCTCACTCCTATAGAAAGGGTGGACACAGGGTGGAGAAACAAAAAGGCCAGGACCTGGCGGGCCAGGGGGCCTGGCCACCACTCAGGCTGCTGGAACTTCTTTGATGCCGGGGGCAGCAGCTTTGTATCCTCCTCAGTAGTCAGGCGAGCAGCTGGCAGCCTGGGGCCTCAGAAACCCCTCCCCCACCCCCTCCTCACTTTCCTGTAAACTGGTTTTACACAAAGGAGGCGCTGAAGGCCATGTGCCAGCTCAGCACTCTCCCAGGTACTGTGATCTGTGATCTATTTGTTAGAGATCAAGGCCCGCCCCCTGCAAACACCCCAGTTCCCGGGCCTGTGGTGGCCATTCCCATATGCCTCTCCTAGGCCGTGGGATGAAAGCTTGCTCCTGACTGCTCAGCGGGCCCAGGCTGGTGCCCCCTGAGCAGTTGGTACCTGGACCCCCAGCCATTCTCCACAGGCCTGTCCTGGTGCTGCTCCCCTGCCAGGTGGCCACTCCAGCTCACTTCATGTTCACCTAGCCACCCTCAAACACGAAGCGTGCCAGAGAGGCTGGCTGTCCATCTGTCTGCAGCTCAGACAGCTCCCGCCCAATGCAGGCCAGGACAAGCCAAGTGAGCACCACACACCACAGCCCTCCAGGTGGAGCTTCACTCCATTTTACAGAACTTGCCTAAAACCTGTCCAGTGTTTGCTGGCCCTTCTGTCCGCCCACCACAGAGTGCCCACGTGCGCAGGGTCCCACAGCCTGGACAGTTGTCCCTCTTAGTGTTTAGTGCTAGCCCCCGCAGGGCCTACGGCAAGGACATGACCCAGCCTGCCACGCTCACCTGTGTGGCCTCAGGCAGGCTCCTCACCCTTTCTGTCTCCAAGGCTACCTGGCAATGGCTGTCCCTGTTCCCCCGGAGCTTTGGGATGAGCAGACAGTGAGGCCAGGTGCCTGTCAGCCCTCTGAGTGCTGCCACACCCTGTGATCACCAGCTCCTAAGGGCCAGTCCGGCCGCCTGCCTGTGCCTCAGAGCTCTGAGCAGGGCAGTACTGCACAATAGCGGCTGAGCTGAGCACCCTGGCAGCCTCTCTGCCCCTCACAGAACACATGGCCCAGGAGGCAACCAGGATCAAGAACCCCCAGGCTTCAAAGGCCCACTGCTTTGGGGTCCTGGGGCTCCACAGCAACTCCTGCGCTAAACACTCCACTGCATCCCAGTGGGGCGTCAACTGCAGAAGGAGGGCAGTTACAAGGTGCTAATGTGCCGTTGCTGTTAGCAGAAGCCTGCTCTCTGGTGATGTTTCCTCTGGCCTGGAAACGCTGGGGATTGCATGTGGCCCAGCATTCCCGTTCTGCTCACATGCCCCCATCCTAGGGAGTCCTGGACACAGGGGGATGCAGATGGGGCCAGGAGCTGGCACCCAGTCCCCATGGCCACCCTCTTGGGGCCCCGTCCTGGGGTCTGCCCCGGGTCTTAAACCTGGTCCTCAGCCAGGTGATGCCAGAGCCCCCACACCTGGGGAGGCCACATTCTCCATGTCCCTGCAGGATAACTGAGACCTGTTTGCCTGGCCAACTCGAGGCTGTGGTGAGGTGGGACTTACCTTGTCATCACAGTCACTGTCACTGTCCCGGTCGCACTGTTGGGGGAGAGAGAGTGGGGTGAGTCAGTGCCCCAGTACCTGGCAGGCCTCAGGCCAGGAGTGTGAGAGGGAGCTTTGGTGGGCCCCTGGCCCTAACTAGAGCCCAGGCCTGGGGTGGGGGTATCCTCAGCTGGTAGGACTAGGGATCCCAGCCTCAGAGAGTGGGGCGGGATCTGTAGGCCCGGTCAGAGTCCAAGGCTGGCAGAAGTACCTGGGGTGGAAGGCAGGGTGACTCAAAGGAGCACAGGACCAGGTAGAGGCCCCTCCTGAGCAGACTTAGGGGCTCAGAGCGAGCCAGCTGGGGGCCCCTTCCCGAGACAGACCCACTGTCCCCCATGACCCCCTCAGGATCCCTCTCTCGTGCTGAGTTCTCCAGGTGGGAGGACAGCAGTGACAGGTGAGGGGCCTGTGCTCCTGGGCGGGGGACACATGGTGCACCCCACATGCTTTACGAGGCCAAAAAACAGACCAGAGCAGGGTGGTGATGGGGTCAGGGCAGGGCTGGGGTGCGGAGAGGGTACGGGGCAGTGTGGCTGGTCTTGTGGGGTAGACGAAGCGGGTTAGGACAGGCCTGTGGCCAGAGGAGATGCCTGCAGGGAGGGCTGCCCAGAGCCACAGGGTTAGCTCAGCTAGGTAGGAAAGACTGTGATAATCACACAAGTGAATCCTTGTTTTTTCCATTTTCAGTAAGCAGAGCTTCAAAAAGAAGGAGTGCTCAAGAAACCACTGTGATTTTCCCCCTAAAATATAAAGTTCCCAGCAACTGCAATTATGATGTGTCTGTCAAATGAATTATATTGCTGAAAAGAAATCTGTCCTGGAGCATGTGAGTGAGAGGCCCCAGGCGACACATGCTGTTGTGCCGGGTGCCCTGCACTTGACTGACTCAGGCACCCACACGCTGCCCTCTATGCCCAGGGTTAGGGCTGAGGTGCGTCCAGTGATAAGGTCACACGAGCTGCTCAGTGCAGCTGGAAAGCAACCCTGTGGGACAGCAGGGACCATGGGGACCCCAGCAGTGGGATGTGCATGTGTAGGGAACTTCTTAGGGCCTGTGCTGCCCAAGCTTGCACTGCACCCCACTGGGCCTGGACCTTGAGCTCCGGGGTGGGTGTCCTGTCACAAAGGGCAGAAGGGACCTGTGGCCCAGTGTCCTGGTTGCACAACTGTGACAAGAGGCCAGGTCAGCCCCTCAAGGCCAGCTCCAGTGGGTGGGAGAGCGTGGGGTGGCTAAAACCAGGAGGCAGAGCAGGAAGAGGAGGGCAGTGGGCTGGAGCATGTGAAACCACGGTTTGCTGGATGAGGGTACTTGGGCATGACGCGCCCTTCAGAAGGGGTGGGGGAATATGGCCTAGGGGACCTGGGGGAGGAGGCCTGTGTGGGGTCAGGAACCCCTCCAGTGCTCAGTGGCACTAGAAATAACTGAGCCACTGTGGAGCTGCCAAAGACCCCCAGTTGGGCCTCTTCCTGTTTAATCAGTGGCACCAAGCCCTTGAGGTGGAAAATGAAATCCCATCAAACCATGCGGGACAGGCCTCGTGTGCACATGCCAGTCACTTGGGGCTCCCAGACCCACCCCCAGCCCAGCTCCACCTCTCCCCCCACAGCTTTCAGACGGTGCCACCAGTGAGAGCTTAATGATCCAACAGTCAAGGAGGGGTGAGGGTGCCTTCCAGTGAGTGCGCAGACTCTGTAATTAACCAAACAGCACACCGTTGTCAGCCAGCACAGGCCGTCTAGTAAATGAATTCACGTTATTAAGACCTACTGAATTAATGTTTAACTGCAGTAGACTCAGAACTGAATGAGGCAATTAATCAGGGCAAGGAGGGAAAAAGCCCAACTGTCTTGCTGTCTTGCGGGAGCTGCCTGAGCAAGGCGACCTTCATGGAGTTGGGCAGAGTGGGCAGCTGGGGGAAGTGTCACCTGGTGTGGGTGTGGGTCCAGATGGGGAATCCATGGAGCAGAGGACAGCCCCCAAGCCCCAAGGGGATGTGCTGGGTATGGTACAGAGACCAAGACACAGGCTCTGGGATGCTGTGTTGCCACCTACACTGTGCAGCCATGGGCAAGACCCTTGACCTCTCTGGGCTTCAGTTTATGCTTCTATAACACACAGACAACAGCCCACCACAGGGTTGTTGTGTGGTTTAAATGAGTGAACACAAGGAAAGCACTAGGACAGTGTTGGGTATGTACTCAGTATGATATATAGTGTGATCCTCATCACCACCAACCACCTCCATCACCACCACCACCCCATCATCATCACCATCACTACTGTCACCTTCATCACCAGCATCTGTCACAGATCCTTCCCTCAAATCACCTGATCCCCCACAGGGTCTGGGCACAGACACCTTTCCCGACAGTGCCCTGCTTCCCAGGAGCCCCTGCACAGGACATCTGGAAGCTCAGCCTCCATCACCAGGCTTCTCCCAGAAACCTGGGCTGTTGCTTGCTTGGGTGGGAGCTGCTTTTCACCCTCCACAACTGGGAGACACAAGCCAACACGGCCATTCAGCAGCTGCAGAAACGCATCCTCTCCTTCTCTCAGTGTGAGCTTTAATTATGGCTTCACAGCGGTGCTCAGGGAAGGCCGCCTGTCTCCCATTTCTCAACAAAGGCATGAAAAATTCATGGTGAAGGAGACCTTGCCGCTAAGCCCGCTGCTCCTGTCAGATGTCCCTGTATACAAGCTGGCCCAGAGATGCCTGTGGGGAGTGGGGTAGGAGGGGACAGGGAGGGTGACTGCCACTCACCTCCAGGCCTCAGTTGTGCAACAGTGACAGGGCCAAGAGGCTGTCCTGGGGGAGAGTCCAGGCCCTGCCCTGGAGGAATGCTCTGGAAACCACCCCAGCTCTGCCTCTGTCTCCCCCAGCTTCCCACACAGCTGACCCGGCCTGATCCAGGGGTCAGAGTGGGCTGAGGGTGGTGTGAGGCCTGGGTTTCTGCCCCAGCTGCAGTGCGCAAGCTGTGAAACTGCCCTCTGGAGGCCCTGCCCACAGAGCTGGGGCAGGATCAAGGAGGGCCTGGTCTCTCTCCATGGGGACTTGCTCCCAACAGCACAGTCACCGCTGCAAAGGCCTGACCAGCTGTGAGCTGAAAATCCCACAGGATCCACGGCCTGTGGTGAGCAGAAGCAAGAGCCTTCCACTGGGGCCACCTGAGCACGGGGCAAGGAGGCCTGAGCTGCTGGGCACCCACGTGGCTGAGGAGCAAGTGCCCTGCCTGCATCTGGGACATGGGGAATTCCAGGCGGCACAGGTCCTTGGTGTGGGAGTGTCACCATGGCTCCTGCATGCGTGGTCCAGCTGACCTGCCATGTGCATGCAAGTGCCAGGGAGCATCAGGGTGTGCTCTGGGGCTCTCACAGGAGCACCTGGGCATCCTACTTTACCCCAAGGTGTCTGACTGCAAGTACATGTGCACTCAGGTGACTTGCCACAGGGCTCATGACCCTATGTGTTTGACCCGGGAACGGTCGCACGCTGAGAGCACGTGTCTGTCTCAGGGTGCCCACCCTCTGTACCCCAGTGGGTCTCAGCACACAGGTTCTGCCTCATCCAACCTTTTGCTTGTTGGATCCACCTTGGAAGGAAGGGGGAGCAGCTGCCCCACTGCCTATGTGGGAATCCATCTTTGTAGACCAGGGCATGAGCAGCCCACCTTCCTTTCTGCTGCCAACATGCTCCAGGGGAAGAAGAACATGCCCGTTAGGGGATTTACTAGAATGCAGCCCAAGCAAGCCCAGAAGAGGCTCAGGGGCCAGGAACAGCCTGGAGGAGGCAGGGCCATGTGCCATCTGTAGTAGTGTTGGAAAGGCCGCTCCAACCTTCCCTCTGTGTTGGCCTCAGTCCTGAGTGAGGGAGCAGTAGCGAGGGCTTTGGCCAGATCCCCTGCTCCTGAGGATACACCTGGGTGCTCCATGCCTCCTCTCTGGACATGAAGGGCAGCACCAGGGCCTCAGCCGTCTCCTCTCACTGGGAGGAGCTGGGTGGTTTTGGTTACCGCTAGCAATGGCTGTGCAAGTCAGTCCTGTGCCGCCTAAGAGGACTGGCACCGCACTCCCCTCTAGGGCAGCCACACTGCTCAGAGTGGAACTGTAGCCACCAGTGGTTGTCGTGGATCAGCCCATTTCACAGATGAGAAATTGAGGACTGAGGGCAAAAGGGCTCCAGCTGCTATAGTTCCATGGCCAGTAAGCAGGCCAGGTCCTGAAGGGCCCAATGCCACCACCCCGGCCCTGACTGCAGGTGAGCCCTGGGGCCAGGGATCTGGGCTCTGCCGGGTAACAGCTGTGGGGCTGTAGGGTTGGCAGATGTGGGAGCTGTGGGGTGGGGCATCAACTTCACTTAGCCCCTACCAAAGCCCCCTGCTTGTGGGTGGGGAAACTGAGGCAGGGCCTATCTGGAGGTGGGTGAGCGGGCTCTGGAGGCTTTGGTCTTAACCAGCAGGGCTCCAGGCCAGTGACTCCCTCATGGGAGCTGAAACTGGACCAAAGCCCCAGTATCAAAGGGTCCCTGGCCACCTGGGCAGGGAAATCACAGTGGAACCGGCTTAGTTATGTTTGACAGAGGGATAGGAGTCCTGAGAATCCTATTCTTGTTTACTCAGGTAATTCACTTTTTATGAGTGTTTAGGCTTTAAAGCACAGCAAAGCACTAACTACCCAATTAATGAGCAATTAAGTTCCTGCTGCCCATGAGCCAGCATGGATGCCGCCAGGAGCTGGCGGATTTGCTTGGGGGCACTTTGCAGGCAGCGAGGAGTGGCTGCATTACCTCATAGGACAGGGCGGCAAGGACAGATGGGTGCTTCCCCAGAGGAGCCAAGAGGGGCTGCACCAATCGTCCACTGGCCCACAGTCCATAGGCCAGGAGGCGTGGGAACCCCAAAGCCTGTTGCTGCCTCATGTGCCTCTGCCTCGGGTCCTGTGGGGAGCTTGTTGTGGCCTCTTTCTAGTGACCTCCTTGTGGGCAGTGGGGTGGAGGTCA